ATTCAGATCTTCTGAAACCTGAATTTTAAAAGTAGCAGCCTGATATGCATGGTACCCCAGAGAAGGGAAATGAGGCAGGATCTCTTGAGCACATTGAGAACATGGGGGAAAGGGGAAAGGGAGCTGGGAAAAAGTGAGGGGGAGAAGAGGAGGAGAAAGGAGGTCATGGGGAGCAGGAAGGTTGTGTCAGGGGAAGAATAGAGGAGAGCAGGATGAGAGATAGCAAAATAGAGGGAGTCATTGTAGGTTTGAAGAGAGATCTGGTCCTAGTGAGATCTCCAGAGATCAATAAGGATGACAGCAACTGGCAAACTAAGCAATAGTGGAGAGGCTGCCTTAAATGTCCTTCCCTGATAATGAGTTTGACGATTACCTTATATGCCATCCTAGCGCCTTCATCCAGTGGCAGACGGAAGCAAAAGCAGACTACCACAGACAAACACTGAACTGAACTCCTGGAACCCAGTGACAGGGAGGGAGGAGTGATGAGCAAAGGGGTCAAGACTGGGCTGATGAAACCCACAGAAACAGCTGACCTGAACTAGGGGGAGCTTATGGACCCCAGACTGATGGCTAAGAGGCCAGCATGGGATTGATACAGACCCCCTGAATGTGGGTGTCAGTGAGGAGGCCTCTTATGGGGTCCTGGGCAGTAGATCAGTATTTATCCCTGGCATACAAATGGACTTTGGGTGCCCATCCCACAATGAGGGATGCTCTCTCAGCCTGGACACATGGGGGAGGGCCTAGGCACTGCCCTGGATGAAATGACAGATTCTGGAGATCCCCCCACAGAGGGCCTCATTCTCCCTGGGGAATGGAATGGGGATTGGGTGGAGGGCTGGTGAAGTTGTGGGGGAGGAGGGGAGGGAGCTGGGATTGAAACCTGAAGCAAACTTGTTTCCAATTAAAAAAAAAAATGTAACAACAACAAAAAAGTAGCAGCCTGGAAAGTTCCTGTTTCTGTTGCAATGGGGATTCCCACCGCCAGGCAAAGCTTTAGCAAACTATAATCCATACCAGTCACTCATTAACTCATTCTCTCATTCATTCATTCAGTCAGAAAAAGACAACTCAAAGCTCTCTGAAGTTTGACTGCCCTTTTCTCGTGGTGAATGGTGAAGACACAGCTGAAATAAAGTCAGCATTTTCTCCTGAAACAAGAACAGGCGAAAACAACTCATAAAGGGTGAACACAGAAAAGGGAGAAGCCTCGACAGATCTGCACAGCACTGGTTTCCAGCCTCTGTGGCATGGGTAGTCCACGAGCGTGAATACTGTTCTGGGTAGAAACACAGGGTCTCCCTATATAGCTTTGGCTGGCCTGGAACTCACTACATAGACTAGGCTATCCCCGAACTAACAGAGATCTGCCTGACTCCACCACCATGCCTGACAACACGGTAGAACCTTAGTGTATTAGTGTCCTAGGGTAGCTATGACAGATTGCCACAGAGTTCTTTAAAACCACAGAAATTCATTTTCTCGTGTCTCTGGAGTCCCCACCGTCTGAAATCGCCATCGCCATTGCTGCAGTCCTCACCAGGCTTTGAGGAAGCTCGTTTTAGCATCTTCTGAGTTTTGGAGAGTCATCAGTTTGGAATTTAGTCTTTTTCGCACGCTAGGGATTGAACTTACACATGTGCTGCCACTGACTGAGCTGGCTACGCTTAGCCTCCCCATTTGGTTTTAGCTTGGAGCTGCAGAACTCATATTTCAGTCTCTGTCTCTTCATATGGCCTGCACACATGCCTGCTTTTTTTTTTTCTTTCTTTTATCTCTTAGAAAGACACGTGCATTGGCTTTAGCACCATCTGGTAAAAGTGGAGTGATCTCATCTCAAGATTCTTTTTTTTTTTTCTGGTTTTTCGAGGCAGGGTTTCTCTGTAGCTTTGGCTTTGGAGGCTGTCCTGGAACTTGTTCTGCAGACCAGGCCCGGCCTCAAACTCACAGAGATCCACCTGCCTCTGCTTCCCAAGTGCTGGGATTAAAGGCATGTGCCACCAATGCCCAGCTTCATTTCAAGATTCTTAATTATACCTACAAAGATGCTTTCTCCGAGTTAAGATAGCATTCACAGGTGCCTGAAGTTAGGACAGATGTTTCTTAAGGCAGGGGGGGGGGCAATGGCCTTTATTTTATTTTACTTAGCTAACAAAGTAGCAGGTTTCCTTAGGGAATCTTTATGTTTAGTTTTGGTTCATTTTCCCCCACTTCCTCTCATCTCCTTGGCCTTCATCTGATGGGGGAAGTCCTGTGTATGTGTCAATAAAGCACTGTTGGCCAATGGGGAAGCAAGATAGGTGGGACTAGGAGTTGAGGGGGATTCTGGGAAAGAGAGACACAGGCAGACATCATGTAGCCGCCACAGGAGTAAGAGGTCTGGACCCTTTTCTCCAGTAAGAGAAAGACTTAGATTAGCAATTATGGGTTAAATACTTAAGTCAGAGCTAGCCAGTAAGAAACAAGCAAACCACCAACAGCTTCATAATTAATATGGCGTCCTGTGCGTTCATTTGGGACTGATGTGGCTCTGGAACCAGGCTGGCGGGAAGGCTGCACCCTACAGTCACCCCGGTGTACATACCCCTCTACCCCACTCCTCTTTCCTCCACTTCCGTGTCAGGCTGGTTTTATTATCCCCACGCCCTCCTCCCGCAGTGCTGGGTCCCTTTCTAGTTTCTGCCCTCTATGCACATCCCCTCCCACAGTTGGGATGCTTTTGTTTGGTTTTGTGTTTTGGAACCAGTTCTTGCTCTACAGCTCAGCCAACCTGTTCTTTAACTCATCAGCTTTTTGCCTTAGTTTACTGAGTGCTAGCGCTACAGGAAGGAAGGATCACCAGGTACGATCTCTCTCTCTCTCTCTCTCTCTCTCTCTCTCTCTCTCTCTCTCTCTCTGTGTGTGTGTGTGTGTGTGTGTGTGTGTGTGTGTGTGTGTGTGTGTGTAGCCCCAGCTGGCCTGAAATTTACAGAGATCTTTGTCTCCAGAGTGTTGGGATTAAAGGTGTGTGCCTCCATACCCAGCTGATCTTTAAATTAATATTTTTACTCGCCTATGTGTTTGGGTCTGTGCATGGCTGTGCACACGTGTGTATATGTATGCACATGTATGTACAGATGCCGGAGGAGGTCAGAGGTGTCAGTTTTTCCTGGATCTGGAGTTATAGGCTATAGCGTGCCACCTCATCTGAGTGCTTGGAATCAAACTCTGGTCCTCTGGAAGAGCAGTGTGTGATCTTAACTAAAGAGCCGTCTCTCCAGCCCCCTGAATTTTATTTTTTAAAATTTTATGTATTTATTTATTTATTTTTGTTTTTTTGAGACAGGGTTTCTCTGTATTGTTTTGGAAGCTGCCCTGGAACTCGCTTGGTAGACCAGGTTGCCCTGGAACTCACAGAGATCCGCCTGTCTCTGCCTCCCGAGTGCTGGGATCAAAGGTGTGTGCCACCAACGCCCGGCCCTGAATTTTTTTAATACTATACATTCATTGTTCAAAATAATAGGCTTCATTCTGGCATACCTGGACCATATTCATCCATTTATCACCCTCTCTTGTCCCCCTTTTCTTCTCAAATATAGTCCCCAAGAGATGTTTAGTTAGTTAGTTTGTTTTTTAGACAGTTTCTCTGTATCCCTGACTGTCCTGGAACTCACACTGTAGGTCACGTTGTCTCTGCCTCCCAAGTGCTGGGGCTAAAGGCATTTGCCACCACTGCCCAGCAAGATGCAGTGTTTTACGACTCACAGTTCAATCCACCACACTGAGCAATCTTAAGCTATCAAATAGTTTCCTATGATACTCCTATCTAAACTGATGTATTTAGAAAGTGTTTTAAATACAAAATTTCAGACTGGGGCTAAGTTGATAGAGTGCTTGCCTGGTAACAGCAAGGCCTTGGGTTCAAGCCCCCAGTATGATACATACATGTATACATACACACATGCATGCATACATACATACATGCATGCATGCATACATACATACATCATAATACCAAAATAGAAATAATCTTTTCATTCAATGCATATAAAGTGTGCTGACCAAATCTCTCCCCATTCCTTCTGTCCAGTCCCTCCCCTTCCCCTCCTACCACTTTTCTCTGCCTCAAACCAACAACACAAAGCAGAAGGAAGAGAGCATTTCAGAAACGGCACATACTAAGAATTCAAGTCATCCAAGGAAGGACAGGAAAAAGCCCCCCTCACATCCAGGCTTTGCTGACGAAAACACAGCAGAATCGAGGAGGCCTCTTCCATTCCAGTATGGTGGAGCCACTGCTAATGTCCATTAAGGAGCTCTTAATCTGTCCGATGATCACGCGTTTCGTGCATTTCATCTGATCGGTGCTGATTTTGTCAGCTCCCAGATGACTCACTCCGTAAACCTCTGGGCCATCACTGTTCCCGCCTGAGTGGGCCGTGTGCTGCCTTCCTGCTGACATCACTGGAAATCTTGAGTCTGAACCAAAGCTGCCCTGTGCCTCCATGACCTTTCTCCACAAGGCACAGCGGGGCCTGGACTTCTCCAAGCTCAGAATACACTCACGTCTGCTGCTCTGACCCCATGGAGGCTACTGTTTGAACTCAGCCTATTCTTAGATGTTCACGATCACCCTACCTACAGCAGGCCCGCTGGAAACCAAGACACAGATTCTGGCTTTCAAAAACCTTTCCTAGGGCCGGCGAGATGGCTCAGCGTGTGAAGATGCTTTCAGCCAAACCTGGCATTTAAATTCAATCCTCGGAACACAGTTGCCCTCCGACCTCCACGCTTGTGTCCTGATGTACCACAGGCCTATCCGTGCACACTCACATTCGGACACAATCAACACCAAATGCGGTAAGATCTTAGAAAGCTTCCTCATCTGCTCCCAGACTTCAGGAAACCCTGCGTCTCTCTGCCTCAGCAGAGAAGGCCAGCGGGGCAGGGGAAGCCTGCCAACGGCTTCACTCTAGTGGACAGACGACCTCGGAGAAGTCACCTGAGAGAGGTCTTACCTTGATGGCCATGTCTTCGTTGGGTTCTATAGGATCTGCAGTTGACTCATCCCCCTGTAGCAGCACACGGGACCACCCAGATGCTGGAAAAAAAAGAGAAAGGGTATTTGAGCCAAGTGGATGTGTCCGATCTGGTGGAAAGCTGCACAGCTGTCATTTTTTTGCAGACTAAAAGCCACGTGGCCTGTAAGGGACAGGAGTGCTAACTAATGTGTGTCTGCAAACCTGCCTTTGGTGGTTGACACTGACAAAGCTTTCTTCCCAAGGTGCCGTCTGTCAGCTCATCCTTTGTTTCTACTTAATTTCCAACTTAGGAGTTCTGTCCAAGCCCTTTTTGTTATTGTTTGAGACACGGTCTTGGGTAGCTCAGGCTTTCCTGGAACTTGCTGTGTAGGAGAGACTGGTCTTGAGGCCCCTGCTTCCAATCCCCCCTCCCCAGGATTGGTATTTATAAGCCTGTACCACCAAGCCTGGCTTCAACTTTCTTGTAATCCCTGAATCTGGAAGGGACTAGAGTGATTCCCATAGGCGTGCAAGCCTCATCCTAAGGCCTCATTTGGGGCTTAGAGTGAGCCCCAAGCACAGACATACATAAGTCTAGTTCAGTACCCAATAGAAGTGACTCCAGTGCTCGGCATGGGGGGAGGCATCTGTAATCCTAGCACTAAGGATGCTGAAGCAGGGGGATTATGAGTCTCCTGACAGCCTGGACTAACGGCAAGATCAAAGCCAGCCTAGGTTACCTACTGCGATCCTGTCTTCAAATATTTAAAAAACAAGCAAACCGCAAAGCAACAACCAAACGACCCTAGATTAGTTCCCATTTTCATTTCCACATACACACCAGGAATAACTAATCATTTGCTGTCGTATTTATTTATTTTAGCTTCACCGTTTTTGAGGCAGTCTTGCTATGTCACCCAGACTAGCCTGGAATTCTTGATGTAGCCCAGCTGGCCTTAGACTCTCGGCCATCGATCCTCCTGTCGTTGCTGGGGTTACAGGCCTGTGCCGCCATGATCAGCCTTGTTCCTTACTAAGGCTGTCAGGCTATCTGCAAATGTCGATGTCCGGCAAGAGACGGTTTTGTTCTTAAGGTGGCTATGGGGAGGCATGCCCGTGATACTAGCACCCCACAGGCAGTAGTTGGGGGATCGTCCCAACTTCAAGGTCTACTTCAAAGGAATGCATAACGAGTTCCACAAAGCGTGTTTCCAGGCCAGTGGGGGCCACAGAGTGACCCCGTCTCCTGCCCCTCCCTGTAACAAGAGGGAGAGAGAACGGATGTGGCGTTTTAGTTCTTAAAATGTTACTAGTGGTATGAGGATAGAAACACTGACACCCACAGAGGTCTGAAGAGCCAGGTCGGCTCCCCTGGACTTAAAATCACAGACGATAGTGAACCACCACGTGGGTCCAGGGGATCTGAATCCAAGTCTTCTGTAAGAGCAACAAGTATTCTTTAATTGCTGAGTTGTCTTCCCAGGCCTAGGAGTACTATTTTTAGAAGCTGGACGTGAAGTTCCCTCATGTAGAAAACCGTGTTTGGAAACCAAAGTAACTTCGTGGATCTTTTTTTTTTTTTTTTTTTTTTTTGGTTTTTCGAGACAGGGTTTCTCTGTGGCTTTGGAGGCTGTCCTGGAACTCACTTTGTAGACCAGGCTGGCCTCGAACTCACAGAGATCCGCCTGCCTCTGCCTCCCTAGTGCTGCCTCCCGAGTGCTGGGATTAAAGGCGTGCGCCACCAATGCCCGGCAACTTCGTGGATCTTTCAGGTATTAAAAAAGTGGGTCCCCGCTGCTGCAGTAGCGGTAAGGACTGTTGGGAGGGCAACCAACGGCTTCCTGATTGGATCTGAGGCTTCACGAGAAGGAATTCACATCTGGCATTGTGAATCTGGTCAAAAGCTCCTGGCTAGGGAGGGTCATGGACTCTATTGTTTTGCTAAGTGGGCAGGTTACCCCCGTTAAAAATTGCCTTCTACATATTTGTATCTATGCCCATAAAAGCTTTTTTCTTGCACAGTCACTGGTCAAAATACTGAGGATAAGCACACACACACACACACACACACACACACACACACACACACACAGTAACAAAAAGGTGGGTCCCATATCACAGGGGCAAATAAAGAAAGGAAGAAGTATGGCTAGAAGAAGGAATGAGCTTGAAAGAAGTTGGGGCAAGAAGTGGAGACACTAAAAAGGGCTTTTTGAGAAAAACCGATGCCCGCGAATCGACGTTACGTTCTCATGATGTATTTGCCTCCTACTCTCAGAGCTGCGTCGGTGACCCGCTCTTCACTGCTCTCTTGTATGGGGCTGTCTGGTGAAAACACGAACGAGGCCCACATTCAGGAGTCAGGATGGAGAGAAGAGCAGTTGCGCAAACATAGCCACGCCCCTGGCGTGTGGGTTCCTAGGAAGACCACGTGGCAACAGGGTCAGGGAAGGTTCCTAGCCACGCCCCACGCACGTTAGGATTACAGGCTAAATTTATTTGGACAATGGAGCGAAGGGAACCCTGTCGCCACGAGGACTCCAAGATGCAAGACAACTGACAGTGTTTGAGGGACGATACTTATCCATCTGAGCATTCCACTTCCATTTTCAACAGCGTGTAAACATACAAAAACACCACTGGGGCACGGGGTTGGGGAGAGGGGGTGGGGTGGGGGAGGAGATGGGGAGGGGGACTTGGAATGTTTATCTGTGAACCCTTCAGCTCCAGCATGTTGGTAGTGACTTCCAGCATCTGCTTGCATGTCAAGTTCCAGAGATGACTTCCCATCCCGCAAAGATCTACGATGTATTGCACAAATGACTCTGACGTGGAATGTTAAGACATTCCAGACACACATGCTGCTATTATTAGTCACAAGAGTACAGTCTCCTTTCATATGAAGAATACGTTTGAATAGTTCCACCTGTATTAAATTCTATTATACATGCACACACACGCATGCATTTCTTTTTTTGTTTTCAAGACAAGGTTTCTCTGTGTGGCTTTGGAGGCTGTCCTGGAATTCACTCTGTAGACCAGGCTGGCCTGGAATCCACAGAGATCCGCCTGCCTCTGCCTCCTGAGTGCTGAGATTAAAGGCGCTACCGCCTGGCCAAGCACTACATTTCTATATAAATATAAAGTGACCCTCATTTTAGCTTTTTGGGGGTAGGGCTTTATTATAACTCATGTTGCTCTAAAATTCACTATGTAGATTAAACTGATCTCAGCTGAGGTTGAAGCAACCCTGCTGCCTCAGCCTCCAAGTATTAGCATGTGCCAACAGGCCCATCTTCATAAACTACTTTCTTCTGTTTTGTTTAAATACAATGATTTGTTAAAATCATTTTTTTATTTATGAGTGTGTGTATGGCTGGGGTAGGGTGTCCAAAGAGGCCAGAAGAGGGCTTTGGGTCCCCTGGAGCTGAAATTTCAGATGGTTTCCAGCTGTCTGTCAGGGGTACTACGATTTGAACTCTTGTCTCAAGCACAAATATAATCAGCGGCTGTGACCGATTCCTTATCGATTTTGCTCCATCTTCTCACCTAGCCGGAGATAGAGGCTTACGTCTCTCAGCCCAAGTTCTAGCTCCTGGCCACTGACCGGGCTCCGTCGGTGTACACGGCTCTTCGGCAGTGGATCACACTGTTGAGCCGCGTGTACTCCAGCTGATAGGGGCAGAGCAACTGAAGAGAGGCAGCCAAGCTTGGGGGAAGGCAGGGGCTCCCAGGATTATCTACTGGGAGAGGGGGTCTGGGCTGGCAGCAGCAGGTGGTCCCAGGGCTGGGGCACAGCATCCCACAGACAGCTTGGTGTGTTCCCACACATGGAGCCAGATTGCAACACTGACCCACGGTGATAACAGTGAAGTTCATTCTGGGGGTGCAGCAATTTAGGGCATTCTGGGGATAAATATGGGGCGACTTCAGCTGGGATCATCATTAGTACAAACATGAAAAGAGGGGGATGGGAACCGGCTCCGACACACAGGAGCTGAGATCAACTATGGAAACAATATCTCCATTGTTACCCTCGGTGGGGATGCCATTCGGGATATTTGAGGATACAGGTAGTAGATTAATAAGCAGGGGCTTTAAAAAAAATCCCAGCCCTCAGGGAGAGGAGGCATGTGGATCACTGTGAGTTCTAGGTCAACCTGATCTACATAGTGAGTTCTAGGTTGGCCAGGGATACCCTGTCTCAAAACAAAATAATCAGAAAACCCAGAAGACGGATTGTTTGCTGTAACAAAGTTTCAAATTAGGATGTCATTAAAGGTGACCGATTCACTGGCCCCATTACACCAGTCAAGCTCTGTAATTCTTAGACTTTCCTCTCTGTTCCTGAGATGGTCACAGAAGCATGAGTCATGAGAATGTCCAGAATTGAGAAAGGGGAAGAATTTCCCTCCTTACTTCCTCAATTAATCTTTTTTTTGTTGTTCCTCTAGGTAGCCCAGGTAGGCTTTGTACTTGTGATCCTCCTGCTTCAGCATTCTGAGTGTTGGAATTACAGACGGGCACCACTGTGCCCAGCTTCCCTTCACCTTTGAGAGAAGCCCCCAAAGCAATTCCCCACCCCCAGAGGATTCTCAGATTCTCACTGGTCAAATGTGAACCCATTCTTAAACCAGCCAAGGGAAAAGAGATTAAGCGTATCAAAGCTTCCCAGATATGCCTTCTAGGGTGGGGAGGCTCTCAGCACATGGCCACCAAAAGAGGAACAAATGTGCGAAATGGGTTCTTGGCCAGCAAAACAGAAAGAGGATGAACACGAGATGAGCGGCCAGTATGGTCTGTCATCACACAAGCATGTAGCTCACTAGTTAGAAATGCACATTTGAATGCATGAATACTCAGGCCCTTTAGGGACTCAGTCCTCCAGGACCTAATTTCCTATGGCAGTGTCTAACCTCAGCCCTACAATGGTGTCTCATCCTTACTGGGGGTTGGGGACTGAAGTTCCTGACACTTATGCTGACAATTCTGCAGACTGATGACTGATCAGGGCTGACTATAGTTAGTGGGAATGTTGCAAATCCAAGAACCAAAATTATCTTGGTCTATCTCTAATCTT